GCACAGCAGAGCCCCAGCAGGGATGAGGCATTTTCAAATGAGAATTTTCCCTCTCACACTCCAGGGCAATAGAATTAAACTATTTAAAATAAAATGAGGGGCTGGGGTTCTGGCTCAGTTCTGGCATGCACGAGGCACTGGGTTCGATCCTCAGCACCACATAAATGTAAAATACAGATATTGCGTTCCACCTAAAACTAAAAAAATAAATATTTAAAAAAGTGAATAAGGAAGAATGATCGCTCAAAAACAACCTCCAGGGAAATTTAAAAAATAATAAAATAAAATGAGCCAGAGATAAAGGGGGTTCAAGTTCTTCCCTCCTCTTAGCAACCATTCCACTGCCCCCAAACAAAGCCAGACTCTAATGGGTGGATAACGAGCTGACAGGAAACCTTCTGGGCTGGTAGGGTCAGCTCCCAGCTGAGGGGTCGAGTGCTTGCCCAGCATAAGGCCTGGGTTCCTCCCCCAGTACTGCAAAAAGAGCAAAATCTGGAAGTAGGTGGTGGAATAGCAGGAGGAAGCAGCTCCACTTTTTGCCTGGGAGGAGAAATTTGCTTTCACACACATCGTGTTCTGCTTCCTTACCTGAAAGGGTCTTTAAGCTCTTCTGTGATATAATTGAGTTGATTCCTGGAGAAGAAAAAAAAAAAAAGTAAACAAGGGAGACCTGTAACTTGTGACCTGACTTTTTTGGCTGAGATCGTGAAACACGCAGTAATAAATGTCAGCCTCATTTAAAATTCTCCACCACAGGGAGCTCTGCGGCCAGAACACTGGGGCGTTCTTTTTTTCTGGGAAGCGCTGGTGGCCACGTGGCCCAGGGCCCTTCCAAGACCTACACATCTGTCCGTCTGTTGGTCAGATGGGAATCCCATGGATTTTCAAGAATGTTCAGGAGTGGGGAGTCTCCAGGATACTTTGAAAACAATGAGAGACTGAACGGGAGATGAAACTCACGGCTGCTTGGCAGGAGGGACAGCCCCACAAGTGGATGGCCACACTGCTTCCTTAAGTCACACAAGGTTTAAATTGTTGAATACCCTTGGCCTTGTCAAGCACAGGGCAGCCCCAGCTGAAGCCTGTCCTGCTTCTCACCAGAGCCTCTAGGCCCAGGGGTTGTCTTTCTGGGGCCTCCTTTTGGTTTGCTTGCTGAAGATTCTTCCTGGGGCTCACTACTACCTGCCCACCCGAGGTGCCGCGTCCAGGACAGGACAGGGAATGGGGCTGACTTGGTGTCCCTGGGGTCTGAGGGCAATAGAAAGGTCGGGGGTGGGGCATGATACAAAAGGCAAATTGAAGGTGAATTTTAGAGTCCCACCCCACCCCAGAAAGCAGAGGCCTTTGTTTTCCAGAGTTGAAATCAGAGGGGGGCCTTACCAGCCGTCATAGGCCCAGAGTCCGTTGTAAAAGGCGAGACTGACGGTTCCCACAGAAAGTTTCGTGCCCTCAAAAGAATTTTCAAAATTCTTTGTGTTTCCTGTAATTAATCCAAACAGTGGACAGTGGGTGTCAGCTGACCACATCTCGACTTTGCACTCCTCTCCATGAGAAAGAAGGGCGTGACTTGTGACCTCAGGTTATAAAACAGACTGAGGGGCCGGCCACCTACAGCTTCTTTGGGGCAGTCTTGCCAGGCTTGACGTGCACTCATGTGCAGGACTGTTCCCGAAGGAAAGCAGGTGTGTGCTGGGCGGTGCCTTGCTGCCGCTCACCTTGGGCCAGGAGAACGAGTCCACTGATGATGATGATGGCCACGATCACCAGTTTGGCTGCTGTGAAGAAGTTCTGCACGTAGCTGCCGAGCCGCACACTCAGTGCATTCACTGTTGTGATGAGCACTGGGAAGGGTCAGAGCGGGGCGACATTAAGTGCTTGTGGTTTTCCACAGGCCCTGGGAAGTCTCTCTACTCCCACTTCCACCCTCCCCCCCTCCACCACATTTATGTCCTAAACACAGGGAGGGGGCAGGGCCAAGCATGGAAGTTGAAAGATCTTGAAAATGCACTTGATGGTGAGCTTTGTCATCCAGCTGGGCTGCCCCAGAGGATGATGGAGAAGCAGCGAGGCCTGAGCCAGGGACATGGATGACCCTCAGCAGCCCCTGGAAGGCCTAGGGGTTTCTCGGCACCAGCAGGAATGGCCCAGCCTGCCCTGCTTCTCCCCAGAGCCTCTAGGCCCAGTGGGCCTCTTTCTGGGTGTGGAGGAGCTGGGGCCAGACTCCCTGACCACCAGCTGTGCCAGGCTTTCCCGGACCCCTAACTGGGACTCCAGGGTTGGATACTCACTGATCGCAGCTGCAGCCAGGCATTTAACGACTGTCTCAGGAGGCTTGCAGCCCGAGTAGAAGGGCGCACACACGTACTCAGAGAAGCTGAGGCAGATGATGGCAAAGGATGAAGGCTTCATGACCATCAGGCTGGTCCAGGAGAAGAGGTAGGCAGGAATGGGGCCAAAGGCCTCCATCAGGTAGGGGTACTCGCCCCCTGACTTGGTGATCATTGTGCCAAGCTCTGCAAAGCACAGCGCACCTGGAACACAGACAAGATGGGCCACCCGGTCCCCTGGTGAGTGCTGTCCTAGTCCCAAGGAGCCTCTCTCCCTCAGGGTGGTCTGGGCTCCCAAGGGACCACCATGTCCTCTCATGACAGCCAGCCTGGAGTTTGGACGGAGGACATCTAGATGTAGCCCAGTGTACCCTTATTTGCCACATGCGCATCCAAAGTGAACCCAGCAACAGCAAGGGCAGCAGTGCTGTGTGTGTCCCCACATTTGACAGGAGGGTCCGCGGGGAGCAGGTCTTTGTTACCCAGTGTTGCAAGGATCCCACAGGCTGCCCATATGATGAGACAGGGCCCCACGGTTTCCGTGTTGCTGAGCACAGACTTGGGGGAAATGAAGATCCCAGAACCGATGATGGTGCCCACGATGATACAGATGCCACTGACCAGGCCCACCTGGGACATGCAGGAAGGAAGAAGAGTCAATGCTGCCACCCCAGAGGTGGCAGGAACCAGAGGCAAGTCCTCAACACCCATTTATGGCCGGCGCAGCTAGATGGCACATCCAGGCGGGTCCACCTGTGCTAACAGCAGGACAGTTTGGGGGCTTTGCTTGTATTGAAAAGATGGATCCTCATGACAGCCCCCTGAGTTGGGGATACCATACCACCCCAATTTTACTCCTGCCTGGGATGAACAGGTGGGGCAGACCTGGCTCAGGTTGCATACTGCCAACCAGCTCCCCAGAAAGATTCACTTAGCAAACAGGTCAGCACCAAGGCCCCTGGGACATGTCCTTTAGCTGGGCAGAATAGAAAGGATTTCTCCACCAAGCAGACCGTGGTCAGCACTTGGAGTCCTGGCTAGAGGAGCCACATCAGCAACAGAGACCTCCCGGGGACAGAAACCCTGGGGGACTGAGAAACTTCCTGTGGTGCCATTGTGTAGGGGAGGGTGTGGGCTTTCTAAGAACAACATCCAACTCAGGAACATACTGCACGACTACCTCCCTGTGAAGTTCGAGAACAGGACAAATGAATCCACAGTAATAGAAACTCAGGGTTGGGGTGGGAGTGGGGAGGTCCTGCCTTGAAAGGAGCAAGAGGGAGCTTTCAAGGTGATGCATTTATCAAAACTTTTCAAACGGAGCTCTAAAGAGCTGCATCCTTCACTATATGTGAATTATATGCTAATGGGGGTGTGCTTTCTCAAAGGGGAAAAACATTCTTTTGACTCAATAACTCAAAACATCAGCCCTTTGAAGCTGCCCAGGCATGATTTCCAGAGCAGGGAGTGAACAATGTGTAGGTTAGACCAGGGTTAGATCCCAGAGGGTGAGGAGGATCCCATTGAGGCTGGCTGCCCAGCGCCCTTGACACACACGAGCAGGGACTTCAGCTTCCTGAGCACTTCTCTTCCTCCTCCTCTGGCTCTGTTCCTGGCTGGTGGTTTGGCTCACCAACATTTGCCCCATCCCCATCCCAGACCCTTTCTCTTGCAGGGTTCTGGTTTGGATCAGGTCAGCCATTCAAGCCATTCAACCTATAATGTCCAAATGGGTTTAGGACATGCCTGGGGTTTGTTTAGCTGTGCTGTGTGGCTGAAGGGCCACAGGGTTCTGGAAGGACATCACTGGAATCAGGCCTGAGGTTGGCAGAGAGGGAGAGTTGTTGCTGCTGAGTTCCTGGCTCCTGCCTCACTAGATTCCTCCAAGATACACTTGTCACCACTACAGATGCTCAAACTAGGAGGATCAGAGATATTGGGCAAAGATGGGATCCAGCAAACTCCACCATCAGGAGAGCTTCTCTGACTGTCCCTGTAAAGGCAAATACTGGAACCTCCACATGCTTGCCTAATGCATGGAAGCATGTTCTTGAACTTCCTGTATAAATTTTTAGAAGAGTATGCTGATTTCACTCACCAGCACGAGGTAAGTCCAGAGAACTGTTCGTTTTAAGATGTACTTTGCAGAACAGAAATCTTTTGGTTGCTTACTAGGGATCAGTGGGGACTTTGGTCCCTGCTGCCTGTCCCTCATTCAGACCTGACAACCTCCCCTAACTCCCCCCACCCCGCCGTCCCCCACACACCCTGCCTTACCTCTTTCTGGAGGCTTGTGGTCTTGGGTTCATTGCTCTGGATCGACTTCTCATCCTCTCCCCGTTTTCTCAGGCTCGTCTCCCCCATCTTTTCCTCCTGCTAGTCCCAGGAGGCTGCAAGGAGGGCATGGGCCGAATCTTGATTCAGCAAAGGCAGACAAGATGCAAAGGGAAGCTCAGCCAGGGCTCATCTGGACTAGTGCATCTGCGTGGTGGGATCTGACTCCCAAAGCAAATCACTTGCTTGTGTCTCGGGAGAGAACGGTGGCCAGTCCCTTAGGGACAGTTTGCTCAGTCCCAGGAGTAAAAATCAGTCACTGATATTGCTCAGGCGGTGGGAAACAGAGCTTTCTGGATCTTTCCCAAACCTCGGGTACTTGTTTTGCCCCCGGGCCTCCTGGCTCCCAAGCCACATCACTGTCTCCTGTTCCTCAGTCACTACACACTGGAAACTCACTCCAGCTCCGTGCTCCAGCTCCAGTTTTCAAAAGTAGAAAGAAATAGCTTAAAACACACTGGAATATACTCAGTGGAATCAAGGCCAAGGCCAGGATGTCTGTCCCACTCTTCCTTCTCAAGTTTAAGACATCTCATGCTCACAGATCCACAGCTTCAGTGGAATGATTAAAAAAAAAAAAATGGCTGAGGGACACTAAGAATTAAGAGATGGTCATACCTTCTTCCTAAGTAGATTCTCTGTCCAGGTCTCCTTCAAGAGAACAGGGAGCCTTACCCTCTGGCCTTACCTTTCTCCTTGACCTTGTAGAGCCAGGGGAGCTGCCGGCCTTACTGACCACCTGCGTCTGCACAGTTGATCCCTAAGGAGGGCCATCTCTTATGCCCAGAAGTCGAGGAAGCCAGAAGGTACAGAGGTCAACAGAGGTAATTATTAAACATGCCCCTCTCTTTTTTTTTTTTCCCCCAACAATGAAACAACAATGACACACCACATGAAAACCGGAGGACCAAGCCAGCCAGTTTCTCTCCAAAAAATGCTTTGTGTGTGCGCGTGTGCGTGTATGTCAAGGTCCAAAAAACAAACAATCCCAAACCCAAACAAAACAAAACTAGATTTCTCCAGATCCACTACATCCTGTAAGTGGAAAATCTCTGCAATAAGTAGGAGTCATGCTTGTTTTCCCCTTTGGGGATCAGGAGATAAACTTTGGAACCAACTATTTTATTACCTTAATAGGCTCTATATAGAACTCAGGTCGGGGAGAAACCCAGGCAACTCTGGTGTGTGGCACTTGACCATCCTTTTCCTCCCCACCCAGAGGAGAGGGCAGGAAGGTAGGCGCTGCCCTGGGGCACCCATCTTCTCTGCAGCTCTGACCAAACGTCAGGTTCTGTGGTGGGCTGTCCAGGGAGCCTGGGACCCTGTTCACTGGGCTGCGGAGTTGGTGCCATACTCTCACTTGCCTCATGGGGAAACAGGCCAGGGGTTGAGGGGAGCTAAGGTCTGAGACTACAGAGCCCTGGCCCAGCAGCGGTTCTCCTGCAGGGCTCAGAGGGGGTCCTGGGGGACAGCCCTCCCCACCAGGCAGGCTCAGCCCCAGGTGGCAGCTCTCAGCTCTTATCTCAGATCAGGCCTTCCTGGAAGGAAGCTGCTTATCACAGGGCAGGGTGACAGCAGGGACTGTCTGAAGCATTGTTGCTGTTATCTCCAGCCAAAACTCCCCCCAATTTTTCCTTAGGGTAAACTGAACAACATTCCTCCATCCCAGGATGGATCAAAGGTCAGGGACAGTGCTGGACTTGTGTCTAGGGTCACTTTGGGAGCACATTAGAGCAGGCAGACCTGGAAGGAGGACAGATATCTCAGGGCCATCTCTCTCTCCTCTTTTTTTAAGCAGTGAAATGTAAATTGCAGACTCCACGAGTTTGTGTGTGTGTGTTGCTGGGGATTGAACCGAGGGCTTCCCTTTGCTAGGCAAGTGCTCTACCACTAAGCTACACTCCAAGATCTTCTTCCTTTTTAAAGTGCATTTACTTATATTATTTTAATAATGGGTTTAATTGTAACTGTGGAATATTAATACATGAAGACAACACACCTGGATCATTTCCCTCTGTTATCCCTCTCCCCTCCCCTCTTCTCTACTCAAGTCTGCTACTCTCATGTTCTTTATAGATTCCACATATGAGGGGAAACCTGGGATGTTTGTCTTTCTGAGTCTGACATTGTGCTTAATGTGATGTTCTCTAGTTCCATCCATTTTCATGAAAATGGCATGATTCCATTACTCTTTATGGCCAAATGATACTCCATTATGTTATACACCAGTTTTTTTTAAAAAATCCACCTATGAATAGTCAATAATTATTTGAAAAAACATTCAGTATCTGTAGCCATCAGGAAAATGCAAATTAGGGGGTACATTACGGGGCTGGGGTTGTAGCAAGGTGGTAGAGTGCTTGCCTAGCTTGGGTGAGGTACTGGGTTTGATCCTCAGTAGAACATAAATAAACATGACCATTTACCAAAAAAAAAAAAAAAAGACACTGGGCTTCCGTCTCTTCCCAGTTAGACTGGCTGTCACCAAGAATATAAAAAACAATGCTGGTGAGGATGCAGGAGGAAAGGGAACTCTTATACACGTTGGCGGGAATGTAAATTGGTACAGCAACCATGGAAAATAGTATGGAGGTTCCTCAAAAAACTAAAAGCAGATCTACCATACGACCCAGCTGTACCACTCCTGGGCATCTCCCCCCAGGACTATTTCTTACAGTCAGTCGGAGGATACAGAGAACTGGGCTACCCCAGAGCTGGGGATACTGATTTAGAAGTTTGTCACCTCCCTTCCTAAGAAGGTGCCACTTGCTCACCTGCCAGATCCCTGAGCAGAGTCCTGGTCCATGGGTACCCGAATGCCAGGGGAGTAGAAGCCAGAGACCAGAGGCAGGGCCTGCCCAGGGGCTTTTGTGCACTTTAGCCTATTTCCCAGCAGCCCTCAAAGTGCTGTCTGTATTTACAGAACACTACAGAATGCTCCTAAGGTCAAGGTTGCCCACCGTGGGCTGGTTTTTATTTTTATTTTTTAAATAGACAGGGTCTTGTTATGTTGCCCAGGCTAGTGTGGAACTCCCAGGTTCAAGCAATCCTCCTGCCTCAGGCTGAGGTTCCCCTGGTCTTCTTGACCCTTACCTTGTGTGAAGTTTGGAACATCTGAGCATAAGGATTCTTTGTCAAGCCTGGCTCAAGTTTCACCTCCCTGCTGCCAATTCTCTCTTGTAGTTAACTTCCCAGGAAGCTTTGTAAAATGCCATTATTTCTTAGATTCCTGACAAATCTCTTGATCTTCCCTTTCAAAATGTGTTTTTTTTTTCCAGTTGCAAAGCTGCTTGCAGTTTGAAAAGATTAACACTATCTTCATTTGATCTTACATTTGGTTCCCTGTTTTTATGGCCACTCCACCACTGAACCACATCCCCAGCCCTATTTTGTATTTGATTTAGAGACAGGATCTCACTGAGTTGCTTAACACCTCAATTTTGCTGAGGCTGGATTTGAACTCTTGATCCTCCTGCTTCACCGTGAGCCGTTGGGATTATAGGGGTGCACCACTCTATCTGTCTTGATTCTCTTCTTCTGTAATGGTTTTTAAACATAAAATGTGTTTAACCTGATGGTGTAAATCCATTTCTCCATAGTCTCTGGGATATCCATATGGATAATATTTTCTCTGATTTATCTTCCACATGACAGACTGGAGCTTTGACAAACATTCAGGCAGAGGCTGCCTTGTCCTTTGCTATCTAAAAATTATTCCAGACTTATAGTAGTCAGTTTTGCATTACTGTAACAAAATATTTGAGGCAAGTTTTACTTTATAAATAAAAGAGGATTATTTGGCTTACAGTATTGGAGGTTCAGGAGCATGGCATTGGCATCAGTCAGCTCTGGTGAGGGTCCTCTTGGTTGTGTCCCATCACGGCAGGTGGCAATGGCAGGAGTGTATATGGGAATACACCATCACATTGCCAGACAGGAAACCAGCGGAACTGGGTCCCAAAGCCCCTTCTGAGGGCACATTCCCAATTGACCTAAGGATTTCCTGCTAGGACTCACCTCTTAAGGTCCCACCACCTCCCACTCTGGCCACCCTGGGGACTGAGCCTTTAATACAAGAACCTGTGGAGAAACACACTCAGATAAGTAGGTCCAAACCACAGCAAGACCTGCCTTCAAGATTTTAAACTTTGGTTCTTTTCCTTCCTTCCTGACACTGCTGACAGTAGTTTAGGAGGGGACCCAAAAGGCAGGTGTAACGTGTAAGGCAGTGTTCACTTCCCTACCTGGGTTCCTACCAGAAGAACGTGGAGAGAGTCTGGAATGTGCAGTCGTGCAACGTTAAGGACTTGAGTCATCATACAACTATTAGCACGGTGAGCATGATTACAGTCTTATCTGGGAACAATCTTCACCTGCACACTCAGGAACTCTTGGAATAGGGCAATTCTACCTTAGCACTTTGATAACATCTTCCTTCTTTCTTTTCTGCTCCCCTTCCTTCTTTCCCTGGGGATTAAGCCCAGGAACTCTTGACATGCTAAGCATATGCTGTACCACTGAATTATACCCCCAGCCATGTCCTCATTTTTGTGTTCCAAATATCTTCAGTAAAGAACCACCACTTTTTATAATCTTGTTTCTGTCTGCCTGGTGTCTACTACTTGAGAGAACTGCCCCCTTCCTGTGCCATTCTGATGGGCCACCATTAGTGAGATTTCCATCACTATGACAAGATACCCGAGATAATCGACTTATAAGGAGGAAAAGTTTATTTTGGCTCACAGCTTAGAGGTTTCCATGCATGGTCGCTTGGCCCCATTGCTTTGAACCTGTGGCAAGGCAGCACTTTGTGGTGAGAGGGCACGGTAGAGGAAACTTGCTCATCTCATGGTGGTGATGAAGCAAAAAACAAGAGAGGAAGGGGTGAGGGGTCTCAATATTCCCTTCAAATATATGCCCCCAACGACCTACCTTCCTTCCACCATCTCCCAGGAGAGCCAAGGCTGGTGACCAAACCTTTAGCCTGTAAGCATTTGAGAAATGTCTAAGATTCAAACAACGAAAGTTAAAAACCAAAGGACCCCATTTCCCAGCCGCAGAGGACTCTGGTGCATAGCTCAGCTAGAAGGATGCTTTTCCCCAGGGAACACTGAAACAGCGTTCAACTATTGAGACCCTGTCCTAGTTCTTCTCAAATACCTTATACGGAATCTAGTATCTGTTTCCAAAATTTTCCTTTCCCCCTACATGTTGGGCATTTGCCTTAACATCCTGTTGCTTACAACACAATCCTGGTTTGTAGAATATACTACATTGTCCGTGTCCTCCATTTTCAAAGAACTATTCTTCAGTGTGGTACCCAGGCCTGTCCCGAACAGGTGAGACACAGGATGCTCAGTGCTCCGACATTCTTGATAACGTAAGGGGCACAGGTATTCTTGCCTCAGAGTTAGCTGGGAGGAAGGCTAGCCACCTGTATTTGTCCATTTTCTGTTGCCAATAACACAGTCATAGATTGGGTAAGTTGTAAGGAAAATAAGAAGATTTTGGCTCACATTTCTGGCCAAAAGCCAAGGGACCACATCTTGTGATGCCTTCTTGCTGCTGGAGTCCTGAGGCAGTGTAGGGTATCACAAGGAGTACCTGGATGTGTTTCTCTTGTGTGTGTCCCCTTTGGTCTTCTCTTCTTATAAAGCCACCAGTATTCAATCATGAGGGCTCCATCCTAAAGAATTTGTCAAACGTAATCACATCCCAAAGGCCCTACCTCTAAACACCGTATTAGATTAAGTTCCCTCCCCTTTAGCACCCCACTGTGGGACGGTCTTAAGGGGAGGGAACCTGTGTTTTGGAGGGAACAGTTTTTGAATCAGCAGACCACAGGCACTCGTACTCTCATCTGTTCTCTCTTTACAGAGGGCTGTCACATGATGGATTAGAAGCAAAGGATGGGGGAGGGCACAGCATACCCAGCACAGAGGTGGGGAGCCAACCTCGGGGACCTCGGCGGTGGTGTCCTGTCCCGCTCAAGGAACTGCCATGGGCTGCTCACGTCTGAAGTCTGCTTGGGCTCACTAACCACCTTCGTCCTGCTGTTTGGAGACAACGGGACTGCAAAAGTAGACCCCCACAAGCGTGTGTAAACTACACCTCTCCTTCTCTAATCTCTCCAACACGACCACCATCAAAATGAGCAAGAGTTGACTGGGCGCCCTGGCATGGGCTGTAATCCCAGTGGCTCAGGAGGCTGAGGCAGGAGGATCATGAGTTCAAAGCCAGCCTCAGCAAAAGTGAGGTGCTAAGCAACTCAGTGAGACCCTGTCTCTAAAAATAAGATACAAAACAAGGCTGGGCATGTGTCTCAGTGGTCGAGTGCCCATGAGTTCAATCCCTGGTACAAAAAAATAAAATAAAATAAAATAAAACCAAGGAAGAGTCAAGCCTGAGGGGGCTGAAGGGAGCAAGCTCTCCACGCAGACCTGGCCCAGGCTCATTGCTCCCAGGAAATCCGAGGCCAAGCCAGCCAGGCCCAGGCCCTTCCTGACCGACAGCTACCATAACTCCTGACACCAGCCAGTTGTCATGTGCCACACTGAGTTCTCCGATTTCAGTTCAGAACCATCCCAACGAGGCTCAGTCTCTGGTGTGCGATCCAGTCTGAACTTCACTGTCCAGACAGCATACATGGCTCCTCCCTGCAGGCCGGGCTACCTGTGCCAAGCCCAGGGAAGGACACTGCTAAGCCACCCAAGCTGGTCACTGTGCCTTTCACTCCTGATGGCAGCACAGGTGGGTGGGGGCCAGGCCCAAGGCTGGCTAAGCTCCAAGGGCCAAATACTAAGATGTTTTTTCCCTCAAATCTCTTCTCTCAAATCAGCTACTGACAACACAGAGTGATGGAAGATGTAGAGGATCCAGAACTCTCCCAGATGTTTGCTGGAATGTAAAATGGTGCAGACACGGGTCTGGCAATATTATTATTATTTTTGTGGTGTCACCTCTGATCTCAGTGTGCCCCTGCACAGGTCTCCTGCCAGTTCCCAGGACAGACTTGCACCACACGCACATACTTGTGCCCAGCCTTCTCTCCCCGCCCAGTTCTGATTTCCCCCAGGGCTGCCTAATTGCTGTCCAAGGCAGCGGGCTCACTTGAGTTCCTGGGTCATGTCTAATAGCTGTTTGACTTTGATCACTTTCAGCCTGATCAGGAATTTCCAGTGACTTTTGTCACTAGGACCAAGAACAGTGTGGTTTCCTCCTCAAACTGGCGACCTGCAGGGTGGAATGCGCAGAGCCTTCCAGAAGTCCTGCTCCCTGGTCCAGCCTCGCCTCGTTTCCCACCTCAATCCCAGTCAGAAGGCCCTGCCGCTCCTGAGTGCTTTCCTCTGCTCCCAAGAGTCCTCTGTGTCCCTTAGCTCCTGAAACCTGTCCATTCTGCAAAGCAGGGGACACTCCCAGTCCTCCATGACACCCTCGCCCCCCACCCCCACCAGTGGCCTCAGGCCCTTCTTGGAACCTCACAGGTTCTCTGCTACTCAGTGGCCTTAGCTTTTGCTGCTTTGCGGGCCTCACCCCCTTCACACCTTGGACTTGCAGCCCATCTGACTGAAGCAGGCGGGGGGGGGAAGCTGGGCAAGGGACCAAGTGCTACAGGACCTTCCCCTTTCCTGGTCACCATGCAGTCCCAGGGGTCACTGAACTCGCAAAGTATGTTTGAAATGAGTGTTTGAAACTTAAAGCAGAAATGTAAGAATGTTCACTTCTCAAGGGAATAAAAATGGTCTCATAAAAGCAGAAGACAAGCATTAAAATTCTTTATACACCTTTATACCATCATTTATCATATCTCTGTTTGTATGTAAGGTATGTTGATGACAAATTCACATCTTCATACATGTATTTTGTATAATGATGAGGGTCTCCTTCCACCATCCTTGCTATTCCCCTTCTCTCTTCTTTTCCCTCCCACCTCTATTCCCTATCTAGAGGAAGATTTTCCTCCCCTGCTCTCCCTCCCTACACCACTTTAAGTCACCCCCCTTATATCAGAGAAGACATTTGGCATTTGTTTTTTGGGGATTGGCTAACTTCACTTTGCATAATCTTCTCTAATGCCATTCATTTCCCTGCAAATGCCATGATCTTATTCTTTTTTAATGCTGAGTAACATTCCATTGTGAATAAATGCCACATTTTTTAATCCATTCATCCATTGAAGGACATCTAGGTTGGCTCCACAGTTTAGCCATTGAGAATTGTGCTGCTATAAACATTGATGTGGCTGTGTCCCTGTAGAATGCCGTTTTTAGGTCTTTTGGGTATAGTCCAAGAAGAGGAATAGCTGGGTCAAATGGTGGTTCCATTCCCAACTTTTCAAGGAATCTCCATAGTGCTTTCAAAAAAAAAAAAAAAA